TAACTTTGATATAAATTCTTATTTTTGGGTCAAATTATTTTTAATTTGTAGTGTTCATCATCATCATCATCATCATCATCTGAATTAGGGCGTGGTTCAAAGCCCACTTGTACTGAAGCTCTAGGCTTATTGTACCCCTCACAGTTTCTATCCCATCAGATTGATTTTCTTGATGAATTCAAGAATATGTCTGATGGGCGCTTTCGCGATTTCTTCAGGTTCCGAATATTGTACCCCGAAGTACCATTCCCGTTCCCATTTAAGGTTTCGGCAGTGGCATAGTATGTGAATAGGAGTTTCGTCCTCCTCTTCACATATTCTGCATAGGGAGTCATCAGATATCCCTCAGAGATTTAGGTGTCTTCTAAGGCCGCAGTGTCCCGTAAGGAGTCCTATTACGGCCTTGAGTTCGCTTCTGCTAAGGTTTAGCAGTTGATGTTGTCTGCTCGTGGATGGCCCCTCTATGAATCTTTTGGACTGTCTAAGTCCAGGAAGTTCCATTCAGAGCCTATGGTGTTCTCTTTATATTTGTTCCTTTAACACCCATTTAACATGGTATGAGATACCACATGTGGGTTCTGGTCCAATAAGAGTTTTTTTCGCTCCCTTGCTAGGAGGTCTGCTTTCTCGTTTCCAAACACTCCCTCATGTCCTGGCACCCATTCAAGGGTAACCTTGTTATGTTCTGCCAGAGCCTGGAGGGATTGTTGGCAATCAAATATTGATTTAGATTGTACTTCTACCCTTTTTATTGCTTTAAGGGCTGCCTGACTGTCATGATAACGATTCTCTTATCTCTAAGAGAGTCATTTAGCATGACTTTGGCGCAGGCATTTATTGCTGTTACTTCAGCCTGGAAGACTGTTGTCAGTGACCCCAGGTTCAAACTAATTGTCCTCTCTGAGTTCACATGGTAGATCCCAGCTCCTGTGCTGTTTTTCATTTTCGAACCGTCTGTATACCAGATTGATTCGTTTTGTTTTTCCCTTTTTTCCCGGCTTTTGGCCCTAATTTGTAGTGTTAATGGCCCTGTATATCCCTATTAAGAAAAAAAATTCAAATTTTAAGTCGTTTTCCCTACAGACACCGACGCGTATAGGATGCACTACCCTGTATATTAAATGGTAACAAATAATACGTGTATAATTTTACTTATAAAAAAAATATTTTGTTTAAAATTAATTTTGTATGGAAGCTGCTGCAAGAACTTTTTTATCGACTTAAAATTAAAATTTCAAAGAAAAAGGTTATATTCATCATGATTTTAATTTACTCTAATCAGTAAATATTCCAATTGAGATTTTTGAATGTTTATGTAGAATTACAACAAAAAACAAATATTTAAACTTAGCGCTGTTTGCCGATTAAAATAAATTTACTTATTTCTGGAACACCTTGTATTTTAAATATTAAGGCAAACGAACATGCTTTTAAAAAAGTAAAGTGACATCTTAACCTTCAAGCTCGTGTTTACATCATGGCCATCAAGTGTATATATTTATATTTTAATAGAGCATTTCTCTTTTTGCTTATCATCCGGTATAACAAGCCAGCTACCTACAGTGAATCTGATAATACTTATTATGTACGCAACAAGTGCATTTATTTTGAAAATACCGGTTAACCGGTTAGGATATTACAGCTAAGAAGTTTGGATTAGTTGTAATACTACTAAATAATCTAACTGTATCTCTTTGTGGAGTAATCATAAAAAACGAGATTAAATATTTAATATTAACATTAGTTTACACATACGATTTTAAATCGCCGTATTTATTCCGCTATTCAATTCAAGAAATTCAAGTTTTTCGATTCAAAAGAATACCAATATTAAAACAAAAAAAATAAGAAATCCACGTGATAATTTATATATATATTTTTTTTTTTTTTTTTTTTTTTTTCAATAAGAATTTGCAATTTACGAGTCAATTAGTATTATTGATATTATTTGTTTAGTGGGCGACTTATTACTAATAAATTAAAAAAATTTGTTAGTAAGCAAATAGAAATTTTGATAAAATACACCCCCACATTCCTTTTTTAAGAAATAAAGAACGACTTATCTTCCTAGTCAAAGGTTATTTTGAGTTATAAAGAAAAAGTTTACAATTTTAAACTATATTACGAGCCACCACTGCCTGTAGGTATAACCATCTGATTAAGTAAACCATAGCAAAAAACCGTTCGAAATGTTTTAATCAGCACTAGTATCGTTTCAGCCAGTTGAAATATGTATGACAAGGATACTATTTATGATAAGACTAGCGTTGCTACTATACCGGTTGCTCTAATAGTGCGAAAAATTCTAATGTCTTTGGTACTATTACACAGGGCAACAAAAAAATATTTTTTTGTGCCTGGGGTTTTAGAGCTGATTTTAACTATATTTGGGAAGCTAAATCTGTACATGCAATCCGTTTTTCTTTATCAGCTCTACTTTTTTAGATACATCAACTTATCTACCAATGTGGTTTTTATTCAGTATATTCATTTGTGAGAGTTCTAAAATTATTATATATTCATTAATGTAGGTACAATGGTTTTATTGTTAGTCTATAATTGAGTAAATTCCAGGCAAATCTACAAATAGTGGAACCATTGCCTATCAGGTACCTGAACTGACCCTTTTAATCCCCTAACTCGAGTAAGTCTCGTCAGTTTGTGCGTTCTGACTAATGAGAGTGGATCGAATTCGGCGTGTTATTTTATATTAAAAAAAGAGTGTTTTTGTGTTATTGAACAGAATTAAAATGAGTTCAGGTTCCAGTTCAAGAAGAAGTTGTGTAATCAACCTGATGTGTTTTGCTATATATGCGGATAATACATATTTCAACAAAACAGACAAACTATTACTGACTTTGTAAAGATAACGTATCTTGGATATTTTGGAGTTAACCTTGGTGATTAGGACAAAAAGTGGGCCCCGCATCTCGTATGTAAAACTTGTACAGAGCATTTACGGCAGTGGACTACCGGGGAAAAAAATGTCTAAAATTCGGCGTACCAATGGTTTGGAGAGAACCAAAAAACCACTTCAATGATTGTTATTTCTGTTTAGTAAATACTAAAGGAATCAATCGAAATAACCGCAGTAAGTGGACTTATCCCAATGTAGAATCGGCAATACGCCCTATCCCGCACTCAGATGAAATACCGATTCCAACATTTCATCAGCTACCAGATATCTCTGATGACGAATATTTTCCCTCTGATCGCTGTTCTGATGCTAAAGTTCTGATGCTAATGAAACTAACAGTGACTATGAGGAGACGTCATCAGTTCCTCAACACTTCAATCAAAATGAATTAAATGATATCACTAGGGATCTCAATTTATCGAAAAAAGCTTTTAGGTTGAACGACAAAAATTTATTGGAACAAGGAACCAAAATTACCTTTTACCGTACAAGAGAAAAGTATTTGCTACCGTTCTTTTCTCAAGAAGACAATCTTTTATTTTGTCATAAAATTAATGGACTCATGAATGCTCAGCTAGAGGGCGAGACAAAAACGGCAATTTCGCATAGAAGAAAAGAACAAATTATATAGAAAGGCCTACCTTGGTTAATAATCGGAAATACAGGAATACTAAACGGTTCACTAACTTCGTATCACTACTTCGGTGAAAAGCTTCGGAGGTCAAGAAGTGAGTGTACAAATTTTTGCTTCACTCTTACTTATGCCTTTTCAGCTAAAGCGCTGAACGTCGACCAATTCGAAGTGGGAAAAGCCACCACTAGTTTTCGGACTATTTACTACTAATAACAACAAAAAGTGACTCTCTCACACCTTTGCAAATAATTTTGATAATTTTTTGCATAAAATTCGGTCTTTTAATACAGTACAAATGAGAATATTTTAAAATACGAGGGGCTCGCTCAGCTACTGGGAGCCGACAATGACTAGGGAATCCAAAAAACGTACCTTCATGGAAATTAATTAAAATATACATTTTTAAAATGAAATAAAAATAAAATTTAGTAACTTCGTCACAATGCATTCATCTACTCTGATTGGATTATACTAGTATGAGAGCCAACGATTGCCAGGCCTACGTTATAGTATGAAATTTAAAATTTTTTTGTGTGTGTTCACATGATAGTTCAAAGCGAAGTTTAAAATGTGCCCTTCTACATAATGGGAATAAATATGGTTCAATACCACTAGCTCACTCAAAAAACTGAAAGAAGAATATAATACCGTAGCTTTGGTCTTGAAGAAGATAAAGTATCACGAACATCAATGGATGATTTGTGTAGACTTCATATGCTTTCACTCATTGGTTTTATCACAGTTTATCTATTGTGCACCTATTTATGGCCCTTGTCTTGACATGGAGACTATAAACAGGGCGCAACGTGTGCAGAATTTCTGCATCAGGTACATATATGGCATAAGAAAATATGAGCGAGTTTCCCACAAATTAAAAAATCTAAAATGGCTTTCAATGACGGAAAGATACAAATTATATTGTCTTTGTACCATAAAACAATTTTGTACAAAACCTTATCATATTTATATGAGAAGTTATCATTTAGAACAGATGTTCATAACATTAACGTAAGAAGAAAGAATTTGTTAACACCTCCCATGCATAGAACAACTCTTTTTGAAAGAGGTTTTCAATATAATATATATTAATTATACAATCCTCTGCCACAAAATTATAAAATTTTAAATCCAATTAAATTTAAAAACGAAATGACAAGGTTAATAGGTACTTGATAAAAAAAATTTGTTGTTGGAATCGTGTTTCCTTTTTTTCTGGGTGACCCGTATGTTAAATGTTTATTTTAAGTCAGGTTAGGTTAGTTTAAGCTAAAATTAGTATGTGTAATTATTAATATTGTTATTTAAAATAGAACAAGGGTTTAGTGGAAGAGCACCACCACAGGTGAACTACCCTTTAAGGTTTCCTAATTTTATGTATCATGTAATTCTTTACTATACCTATTTAGATACTTGGAAATAAAGACATTTTATTATTATTTTTGCTTTTAGGAATGCATCATAGTTTGCGTCATATCCCTAGAAGAGATCAACGTCTCCCCAGACACAGTACCCTATTCTCAATGCAGAGAAGTCCGGACAGTATCTTCAGCTTCTTCCAACATGGACAAAATCACGATAGCGGCCAGCGCCGCAATCTGCGGTACCATCGTCGTAGCCGTAATCGTCTTCATAGCCGCCTCCAGGAGACGGTCTAGGAAGCTTCGCGAGCTACACCAACAGAAGATGGGAATGAAACACGGTATACCAATAGCCGGGTTGCCGGTCAACTGTTGCAATGGAATGCCCGCAAGCCCCGGTGAACCGTTGTCGTCGTTAGCAACCCTCAATGCTTTCAACACGTCAAAGGTAAGTAACGTTAGAAGTATTTTTTCGTCTATGTTTGAAAAACAGTAAAAAATCAGTAAATTCAGAAATAAATATCTAAATTACCCATACGAAGGTATGGAATTTGTCCTCAAATATAAAAATGAAAAATTTAAGAAAATCTACATCCTCTGTCAGGAATTGCCTTAAACTATGTCATATTATTTTATTTTTGAACACAAGATGTCATGACTTGGTCCTCTTCATTCGTCAAAGATGGCTCTGACCGTTCAGCACCTGAAGGGCAGAACGGTTTCTGCGTTGATATGTAGAACTTCATGCCTGCCAGCAAACCTTTTGATGCCGTCTTTCACTGTTGGAATTTCACAGTATCTAAGATCTGCAGTGTGCGAGTAACAAGGCTGCTGAGTATGTTACGAAATACTTTTTTCTGCATATCCGACTTGGGACCTGGTTCTAGATTAAGATTTTATTATATTCTGACATTTTGGAGTTTATGTCAGGTAGTTTTTTACATTATATATTTAGTGGAACATTTTCTAATAGTAGTGGTAGATGATTCTGCAGAAAGTCTAAGTGGACCTCAATTGGACCTGGAAATATATGTTGAATGTTTCAACAATCCTAATCATGTATAAGGAGAGCACAAATCATCGGAATATGCAGCTAGAATGGCTCCAAGAACACTCCCTTGGCACACTGCAGCTTATTTATTGATTGATTCTGAAAAGCCTATCTGCAATATATGATGTTACAATCTCTACATACTGCTTCGGAAGTACCTTATGCCACACCTTGTCAAAGGCTCAGGCAATCATTAACGTTACTGCGGATCAGACTTGTTTTTCTTCAAGGATATTCTCTAACATTTTTTTTTGCTCATGTAGCACTCTGTATTTCAGTATTCAACTTTCATTTCAACTTTTGATTTGTTTTCGATTAACCAAACTAATTTTTAGGAATGGGATCAAGTTTCCGCTTACAGTGCCCATAGCCAGAGACCCAGAATGTATACCGTAGATCAACCGCCTTCTCTAGATGACATGAGGTCTCATTTTGGACCGAAAGGACATAAAAGGTCGAACGCTGACGGCCAATCGCAAAACAGTTTTTCCAATCATTCAGGCAGATACCTAACGGCAAACGCTTTTCCAAACAATCTTTTGGCTTCTAGACAAGGTAAGGTGAGGAGATTTGTCTTCTTACTCGTAATTTAATTATCTCAATAAAGTTACAGATCACATCTTACTTGAAGATTGGTACATTGTATTTAGATATCCTAGTAGATCAATCTTATGGACGTTTCATTGGAGGCAATTATGTCGCGACATCTGTTAGAACTGTACTGACCTTCACATAAAGTTTTCTTAATTTTTAAATTCATTTGGGTAGACTGCCAAATTTAAATTAATATTGTTTATATTCTCTAAAATGATGAACATCGTAAATAAATGTTCGTCCAGCATAATTAAAATCGTATATCTCTTTTTTAAAACAAATACTCTGAATCAAGTATCGTTCCATCTATTAGAAAATAGAGAAATTATGTTCGTTATTAAGTTTCGACAACCGTTCAATGGCTCGGTAGAAGACGACAAAATTATCAAAGACATGACTTGGACACCACGAGACTTGCTGCCATCTATTGATACTCTCCATTGTCCTCCAAGATAATTTGCATTGGTATTGTTCTACTAGTTGATCTAAATACAATGATTGGTACAAATTGAATTAATCCACTTTTACAGATCTCCGGCAATCGCGTCAATCGTTAGCTATGCAATCGGACAGAATGTCATCAAGAATTCCGCATCACATCGCAGCTGCGCACTCTGTGGTGTCGTCCAGCAGACGTTCTAGGCCTAGATCCAGGTCACGGGACCACAACAGGCCTAGCAGCCGCTATAGCAATGCGGGGTCGACTCACACTTTGAATAACTACTGTGATAACTCCGACAACTGGACTGATCACGACATGGATATTTACATGGCAAGAAATCCCACCACGAGGAATGGTTTGGTGCCGTTGTGAGAAGATTCGACTGAGAATAGAGTATATAATTTATATAACGGCTACTTTGTGTGACGCAAATTAAATAAATTTAAAGATCCGTTGTGAAGACACTGTTATTTGCTATTTTTTTAAAAAATTGTTATTTTTGTTTATCTGATTCGAAATGTATGCCTAAAAATTTTGTTTCTTCTTAAACCTGCGTAAAATAGAGGCATATCTAGGGGTTTGTAAATTAGCACTCGAATCTGGGCCAGTTTGTATTTTTTAATATAAATTACTTGACCTTTGGCATTAAATGAATACATGTACAAATAGTGACGAAACAAAGGCTTCAATATTATCTTTAAAAAATAGGAATTCAACTTTGATACTCTCTAACTTTAACAGCTGTTAAATTTAAAAAAAAATTGTTCGCAGAATGTTTCTACATTTTTTATGAATATTTTCTGAAATTTTGAAGTACATATTTTCAGTTAAATCAGTTTTTAGCAGAAAAAACTATCATAAATCCACAAAATAGTTGTTTTATAAAATAGTAGTCGGATAAAATTCTTTTAGAATAGAAATAAAACGAATGTACATATTATTTTAAGTAATTTAAGGAATTTACTTTAATAGCTTTGTAAAGAAAATTCGATGATTGATAATATTTAACATTATCTCAAAAGCAATTTTTCCATGAAAATTGCTACATAATTGAGTCAAATGTCAATATTATATTATTGATTTTTTTTTATTAAAAAATTAATATAAAAAAAAAATTCTACATCAATTAATAACATTTAAAATAGTCACAAAACACAATTATATGCGCTGAATGAACTTTATAAAATTTAAAAACTTGAAGGTATCTGAATGTTGATGAGTAATGTCTACCTTGATTAATAAATGAATTTTTTTAGAAAGTTCAACATTGTAATGGGTACTTTTAAAATAGATTTTCTCACTGTTGCTCAATAATGTCAATGAAAAAGATAATAAAATATTTTATTGTTTTTGCACAATACGATATTATTATAAGCTTATTATTTATTGTTAAAAATTTTGTATATATATTTTTATACCAAATACAAATTACATAACGATGCTTGTTTTATTTAAAACTATATTTCTTGATAGGTAACTAAATTTAAAATATTTACAGTAAAATTTTTCATGCCGGAATATAAAGATCCAGTTTATTTTAATAAATAGACATTGATGTGTCTATACAAACCTATTTTGTAGTATTTTTGTTTCTTATTAAATATGTAATCAGAGGTTGGTAACTCAAATGGAATTTAGTACCGCTCCAATTAACGGGATGGCGCTCGTATCGAAATGTCATGTCAGTTGTCAGCTCGCCAAAACTTCAAACTTTGAAAAATTAAAATGGCTAACTATCCTTCCTCCATGGCTGTTGCATTTGAAGGTGTATTGGATGGATCGTTACGATCTTATATAATATTTATTTATTTTTATTATTTATTTTAATTGTATCCAAATAGGTTATTCGCGACAAAATTGTTTTCACTTTACTCTTTATAAGTATATATTTGATGAACCTATTCCTAAACCTTATGACCCGCCTCTGGTTTTGCTTTTTCCGTTTTTATCATTTTTATCCAAAATCGTGCCTTCGAATATTTGATGGAAATAGCCGAAGGACAGTACGAGTTTTGCGACAACTGATACTACGTCGAATACAAAATATCACCAATTGTGTTGGTTGCACGAGAGTTTTTTCCTATTTTCCCAAGAATCCGAACTATACCTTGGTAAGTCAAGGAAATATTAATTTACTAATACGATTTAAATACAATAACAAAAAGCAATAAATTAAACGCCACATGAATCAATTTCTCCTAAAATAAACAGCAGTCCACTTTCAATTTTTTACTTGGTAACGAACCAGGATTTTGATTCATATAAATTTATTTTTCAACACCTTCCAATTTTAAGCATGTTTTCAAAAGATGGGATAATGGATTTCATGAGTAGATAAAAATATTTTATAATAACTTACCCAGGAATAGGCATCGATTTCTCCCAGCGGTACCGCATTTCCTGAACAAATTCATACCATATGTGAGCAAAAGCGCGCAAACCACCCAAACTTTGAAGGCAATGTGTCAATATAATTGACAACCTCCAAACGAGAGAATCTGGACTACAAGTTTTGAATCCCTTGAACTCTTCATCGAAGTTTTTAAACAAAATCTGCAGATATAAATAACTATCAAAACGAGAATACATTTATATACAATATATTAACATCGATTTAGAATTAATAGTAATTTTAATTTAAGAGAGAGACATAAAAAACAAGTGAAAATTTGGAAAAATGTTCATTATGTTAAAACGAATATAGATAAAAAATTGATACTGGAACAATCCAATCCGTTTATAGAACTAAAACACTGGCGGACCGAAATAAAGTAACACTATTTTGGGTGCCAGGTCACCAAGGGATCGAAAGCAACGAAAAGGCTGACGAACTTGCAAAAAGAGGGTCAGAAGAAACACCGGAACCAGACACAAACCCAGGAGTACCAAAAAGTACAGTCCGGGGTTTCATAAACGACTGGATTCGGGAACAACATATCAACTATTGGGGAAGCACCCCAAAACAGGCACATGGAAAAGCTTTCATAGGCAGACCATGTCCCAAAAGAACTGGAGAACTACTCTTAATTAATAGGAACCAGTTGAAAGTGATAACAGGGTTCATGACTGGGCACGCCCCAGTAAAGGGACACTTGAACAAAATTGGCATGTATAATGGGGAACTCATGTGCCGACTATGTCACAAGAAACCAGAAACGGCCAAACACATACTGTGCGAATGCGAAGCTCTAGATCGCAAAAGACAGTCTCTTTTTGGACAACCCCAGGTTGATCCAACAACGTATAGAACCCACTAATCCAAGGATCTGTACAAACTTGTACAAGGTACAAAGGTGATAGAGTGGGTGCTATGGGACTATGGGGTGCTATGGGACAGATGTGTCCAATGTGGATAAAAAAACGCTCGAGATGTAAAAAATGTATCCGATGTGGATTCACAAACGCGGCAAAGCTATCACTTGTCATAAATCCGGTTAAAAACTCGCTACCATGCGCAGGCAACCCATATTTCGTACACAAATACAAACTTTTGTTCATATTTTATCAAATTAGTTGTTAGACACCCGTATGCATAGTCGATCGCCAGCGATTCGCCAGAGAATCATTCCGGCGTATCGCCCGTGAAAATCTCCAGCGAGTCGCCACCTTTTCGGGCTTTCGCCGGCGGATCGCTGGCGATGCGCCGAAATGAATCTCTGGCGAGTCGCTGGCGATCGACTATGCATACGGCTGTCAGTGTTTTAGAAAGTTTATAATATACCTTTCTAAAACACTGACAGTTTTTTACCTATATCTGTACCGGGATCTATATTCTGCTACTGTGAACCCCCAAAATTTGGATCACGAGCCGCCCTTGCTAAATGTCCTATATAGAATCTGTATATAAGGTAGGAGTTCATGAGAATTGTTATGTATGTATGTATGTACGAGGATATATCAGTATATAACGAGACTGGTGCTATAACTTCTTTCAGAGGTAACATTTTATAACCCAAAAAATGAGACATGAAAGCCTTATATTTAATGTACTACCCCGCAAGTAGACTTTGATTTAACTTTTGACATTTGTTACAAATTAATTATTGAATTGTCAGTGTTTTGCGTACCCATCGAAAAATGAAAGTGGAGCAAAGATACGCGATAAAATTTTGTGTTCCATTGGGTAAAACAACAACTGAAACTTTTGAAATGATTAAAGGTGCATATCTAGATAATAGTTTATCACGATGTAGAGTGTTTGTGGCATAAAAAGTTGAAAGACGGTTGTGAATCAGTTGAAGATGAACCTCGTCCCGGTCGACCACAAACTGCGAGAAATGACACAAAACTTGCAGAAATTAACGACTTGATACAAAATGATCGCCGGATTGGCATAAAACGAATTTCTGACAATGTTAATTTGTTTTACGGTACCACTCAAAAAATTATTCATGAAGATTTAGAGTACCGGAAGATCGCGGCAAGATGGATTCCAAAAGTGATGACCGATGAACAAAAAGCGAATCGAGTGACAATTTGTCAGCAGTGGAAAAGGCAATTGCAACGTAACCCACAGTTTTTAAATAATGTGGTTACATGTGACGAAAGTTGGTTTTATCATTACGATCCTGAATTGAAGTCTCAAAGTATGCAATGGAAGCATAAAGGCAGCCCAAGACCGCAGAAGGCCAAAACTGCTAAAAGCGCTGGTAAAGTGATGCACCTGATTTTTTTGATAAATTTGGCGTTATTTACGATCACATTGTACCTAAAGGACATACAGTAAAAGGGGAGTACTATTCTAATGTACTTCGAGGACCCTTAAAGGCAAAATTAAAGAAAAAAAGGCCGCTTTATCAGGACTTTGGCTGGACGCTGCATCACGACAATGCTCCGGCTCATAGATCAATGATTTGTCAACGAACAATTGAAGAATTAGGGGTTGAAATTATGGTTCATCCCCCCTACTCTCCTGACCTTGCTCCATGTGACTTCCATTTGTCTCCTGAAGTCAAAAAAGAATTGAGAGATAGAAGATTTGAGTCGGATTTAGAGCTCAACAACGCTGTGATGGGTATACTAAACAGACTATCAAAAAATGGTTTCTCAGAAGTTTATGATAAGTGGATAAAGCGATGGGATAAGTGTATTCAACAGAATGGAGAGTACTTCGAAGGATAGTTGTTGAATTTTTTTAAATAAATGTTTCATTGTTATACTATAGCACCAGTCTCGTTATTTTCTGATACATCCTCGTATGTATATATGTATGTATGTATGTATGTATGTATGTATGTATGTATGTATGTATTTATGTATGTAAGGAGAATGGATGGTTGTGTAGACTACGCTCTGACCAGACTAACAAAAAATTTGTGTAGATAAAACTATGTAAAATTTTTGATTTGTGTGTGTGTGTTTTATCCTTATTGTTACGTATTATTGCTCGTTTTATTTGAGGACATTGGAATAGAGTACTAGAAGTAATCAAGATAAAAAGGTGTGTTATAAAAAGAAAGTGAAGTATTTCCAATATGCCAGTTACTTGAAAGGTTGTAAATTATAAGAGTATAAGTGATAAAAACTGATCTAGTGCTTTGTGCTTCCTTGTTTTTTTTTTGTTGGTGTCCCAGCCCAGCATTCCCAGCCAGCAGTAGTAGCAAAAACGTTAACATTGTCTACACTCAACCCATTTACATGTACATGATTTATCAGCTAAATAAAAAATGTAAATAACGCTACAAGGAAAATTGCTCATGTATAAATTCAACAATTAAATCAAAATATATTATTTTTAAAGGACTTATATGAACTATTATTTTAATTATAAATAGGTAGGTATTTGTGTATTAATAAACCTGTTGCTACTCCAAAAAATATATTGTTTATTGATAATCAGGTATCAAAAATATGTGTACCTATAGAAATTTGTTGAAATATGTTCTATTGCTCTTAATATTTTTAATAGGTTGTTATTATTACTTTTTATCCGTCTATTTAACATTTACAAACATATGCATATTTTAAGTTGTAAGGATCTGTAGCCTCTTAATTTTTTTCATTAGACACAATACCTGTGATATCACATTAAATCGTCAATATGAGGTAAATGATTTGGGAGTTGTTTTTCAGTCTAATTTGAAGTTCAATAACCATTTCTTACACATAACTAAAAAAGCAATAAAAGCTTTGGGTTTTTAAAATATTTTAGGATTACCAACAAAATCAGATTATATAAGGCCTTAGCAAAACCCCATCTTGAGTATGTTTCACAAATTTGGATGCCCTTGGAAGCCACACATATTGATCATATTGAAAAAGTACAAAAAATCTTTTTACGATACCTTTGTCATAAAAAAACAACTCGTACCCTTATAAGAGCTCACATAAAACTATTCTCAATAGCTTTAAGATTAAATCTCTTTTACAAAGAAGAAAGCAACAGGCTGTGATATATTTAGTACTCTATTTTAAATAATGTTAAGTACAAATATTGTGATTTGATTGACTATATGTTAATATGGCAAAGATTAATCTAAGAATCCCAAGTAACAAAAAATTATTTAGTTTAGATCCAAGTAGTATATCTCCTTTTAACAAGATAATGGCTGTTAGTTGAAAGACTAATAATTATTTAGCTTTTTTTAATGATTTAATTGATATCTACTTCATAGGTATTTAATATTTGCAACACATTTTATTACACTGTACAGAATTTAATCAAAGATGACAGGAGAGATGATAATAATGTTCTTCCTTTAAAATTTCAAATATAATATTCTAAACAACAAAATATACCTACTTATTATAAACCAATAATTTAACAAATTTTGCTTTTAATAGTTTGTTAGTTTATACATTCAATGCCTAACAATAATCTATCTTTGACAATAAATTTAGTTCTACTGACTTTTACTTGCTTAATTTTAAAATTAATAGAGAAACAATATTAAATTTTAGATATTATATTACCTGTTCACTAGGTTCTACATGTTCCTTTTCTTCTCTACCATAGGGAAAATTAGATTTTTCATCTGCATCCGGAAATAAAAAATACAACAATGGCACAAGAACAGATTCAGATAGTGGTGGATTATTCCTCTTATTTCTAGTTAATGAATGTCTTGCTGTTCTGGTTAAAAGTCTCGAAAGAGTTGGAACGTTGGGTTCAGTTAACAAATCTAATGGATTATTTTCTGAACTTGGTAATGAAGCAAAATCTCCCAATATGTCGTAAATAGTAAAACTGTTATTAAGATTTTGTAAAAACTCCGTCATTGCGTCTCCCATTAAACAAACGGGATCATTCGTACTTTTTATTAAACATGACCATTTCATAGCTGCCATTGGATCAAAATCTGTATAATTTTCACTATCAACCACCAAATTATCTGGCAAATGATTCCATGTTGTCTTCAAAATTAAAGCACTGATTGGATCAACGCTAACACCAAATGGTAATATGAACAAAGATTCAATGTCATAATTTTGATGTAACAAATCCTGTTTCCATACAAAACCTCCAAATTCAGACAAGGTAAAAGTAAATTGGGTAGAAACGATGAATTGATCAATAGTACATGGTGATGAAATCTTCGTTTTAAATAGGTCTAGTAAACCAGAAAGATAATTACAGTAAGGCAGTCCCTTTTTCAAGTGCACCATTTCAAAGTTAGTCCTTATCACTTCATTAGCAAACACTCCTAGATATAATCTCTGCCATTTTTCCCGAATTTGAATAAAAATTGGTATCGAGTTTAAATTTTCAGAAGCCACTAAATTACCTTCGACCACATATATGGAACTTAGAAGCATTTTTATTTTGCTTTCATTAATAATTCCGCCATTACTTGCAGGTGATAGTACAATAAATTCATTCAACCCATACCAAATGGATAAACAAGAATGTACTTCATTATTATTTTCATTATAAAGTTCAAAATCGTGCAAAGAATCAATGGGATTTTTTTGTGGGTTATCCTCCTTTTCTTCATTAATTTCAGTGATAGCAGAACATGCTATTTGTTTAGAATATAAGTATAAATAAAAATGTTCATCTGCAAAATTTAGTCTTTCGCTTTTAATGCTCCATATGCTTTCTGTATCTAAAGGTTTCTCACTTCTCTCTTTATCAATTTTCCATTGGCTTATAATTTCTTCTATTCTTGCCATAAAAACTTCCCATTCTGATGCAGTGGTAAAATCTTGATGGTAAAACTCGCTGTCGTCTATCTCTTCGTTCATTTTTTAAAAATATTTAAATTTATTTTGCAAATTTACAAAAAAGAAAACAGAAGCCAGCTGATATTTGAATGTTTTGACAGAAGTATTAGGCATTTGACATTTGACACCTTTTTCAAAAAGGCGAGTTCGGATAGTCAGGGGCTTTTAAATGACTTTTAAGCGTGTTAAACTGTCCCTAATCGGACTAAACCGAACGCTAAAAGGGTCGTATGGAGTAAAAAGTGTTAAAGGAGTTAAAGAAACTTGGCAGACCAAACGCAATGAAATACGGACTTCCAGAGCACCCTCACCATTGTATAAAGAACTACTCTCACATTGCGTTAGCTTTCTCAAAAATATATTGGATGGAAGATGGCTATGATTCGTGAAATGCAATACTGGTGCCATCTATCAACATATAGTCACACTATCGAGTTGCCCCTATTACTTGTAGAGGCCGAAAATTCTTCTCTTTACGCTCATGGAGGAACGATTATCTAATGACAGCTACGCATGCGCAATAGCTATTTTTCTCACGTATCTATTTACGTCTTATGTAAACATACGTGTTCTTACGTACGCCTGATACGCATTCGTATCGAGCCGAGCAAATGCTTCTGGAGATCCGATCGCACCCGAATTAATAAAACTAATGACAGATTGTAACTTTATATTGTTCTGATTCTTTAAATTTTGAGCCATAATACGAAACGAGTTTCATATATAACACATATCACATTTATTCCCAGAAAGTTCATTGAAAAAAATTAATTAGTAAAAATTACCGGACATTGATACTCGATTATTTATTAGTCGATTATTAAAATTGAATCTCCCACATAAAACATCAATATTTTCCAAATTTTCTTTATTATGTAGAATTTGTAATATACAGCATCATTTAAAGACCTTAAATTTATAATCTTTATACTCAATATAACCATCTACTTTTCTCAAAAGTACCTAAGGTATAGATACGTTTACGTCAGTGCCTTTGCTTTAACTATTGTTTTCTTCCAGATTGCTCGTTTAACGTATCGTCAATTTCCACGTTTACGTCAGAGAGATACGCATACGTATCTAGCGTTGCTTTAACTCTCATTATTACTCACGTTCAGGCCTCGCAACGAAATCGAGGCAGGCGTAACAAAAAAGCTACAAAAAAAATACAAAAAAATAGCCGGGTCCGAGCTAGTGCCGCTACAAATATCCGCTAAGTTAGCGGATCCGCGCTTCTCTCAGTTTCAGCACAAGCTACAAAAGGGAGACTGGCGTAACAAAAAAGCTACAAAAAGTTACGAAAAACCAGCTGCGTCTGAATCTGTGCCGCTACTGTAACCTACCGCACCAAGGTACCTTAATAATTTATAAATTCCATTTAATAAATATAAATACAATATTGCATTCTATTAAATTTAAAATTCTTCATTTGACGAAAAATCTCCCAGATAATTAAATCTTAGTTACGATACCTAATAAATAATAGCTACAATCACGTCCGTGAAAGATCCAAATTTCTGAACGTGTCTGGGGTCCCAATACAGTACCGTATTAAATACCTTCCCTTCCATCACGACGCTAGACGCCTCGACGCCAGGCGCCTTGACGCTTAACCTGCGACGTCCCTAAATCGACGCCGTCACAACGCTAGATGAAATTAGTACATAATCTAATGTCTGTATTTTCAGTGGGTCAAAAGATTTATGTACCTTTCTTTGAGATACCACCTGGGTTTCGTTTAAGGGCAGGCTTGACATTTGCTGTAAAATATTATCAATAAACCACATGGCCTTCAGGTCATACACCCCGAAAGATAGGATAGACATCTGTGTTGGATGGGTGAAATTTTGAGTATTTTAATAGAAATTATAAAAATCAATATTAAGAAATATACAGGGTTATATTAAGTTATTTCAATAGAAATTATAATAATCAATATTAAAACATATACAGGGTTGTATTAAGTTAACTCAACAGAAATTATAATAATCAATAATAAAAAATATACAGGGTTATATTAAGTCGTGTCAATAGAAATTATAAAAATCAATATTTTAGAAATATACAGGATGTGCTATCTTTGATAAATTGTACAAACCAAGATGGTAAAATTTAATAGTAAGTTAACCAACTGGCGCTGTTTGTTAGCTCAAGGGGGGACACCTATACGCTAAGCAACCCCTACAAGGTTTGAAACAAAGTATATGTGAAATCAACTTAGTAAGGTAATCAACTGGCGAATTGGCGCTGTTTGTTACTTCCATTGGTCATTACCTCTATACTCATCGTAATATTTACCTAAGAGGGTGCAACCTGTATATATCTAGAATAGAATCAAATCAAGATCTACTCAATAGTTAACCAACTGGCGAATTGGCGCTGTTCGTTAACTTCATTGGTCATCAACTTAGATAAGAATATAAACAACAACACAAAAGTTAACCAACTGGCGAATTGGCGCTGTTCGTTAACTCCGTTGGTCATCAACCTAAGTCAGAATATAAACAATAACACTATAGTTAATCAACTGGCGAATTGACGCTGTTCGTTAACTCTGTTAGTCAGCGACCTAAGTAAAATATATATTGATAGCAAATGAATATGGTCTGCGTTTGAATGGGATTCAAGTGAGATCTCAGTAAATAGTAATAATTGTAATATAATTTCTAATTATTGCATCACATTTAAAGTATGAAAATTAAAAAAAGAGTTTAAATATGAGTTTATAATATGTTTTATTTATCAATTTGCACCAAACTTTGCATCGAATTCTGGTTTACCTTAATTAACATTATCACAACGTGGGTATACAAATTATCAATAAATTAACTAGACGATCACTTTTACTACTAGAGGAAAAAAGGCCAATCACAGTAAGTATAGAATTTAAAGTAAAGTAAAACTTTTGAGGTAAATATTAACACAATTGAGAGTAAAATAACGAACAAAAAAAAATATAAATAAAGGGGGGCCGGGGGTGGGCCGTCACACTACTATGAAAATTCAAGCTAGCGGATCCGCTATTTTTTCGGACCTGGGCTAAGCTACACATTCGCAAATAGCGTAACAAAAAAGCCACCAGGGGTAGTATTCTCGAATCACGAATACCGACATTCGCATACGTGTTTTACAATGTGTCTCACTTTGTTGAACGAAAACCAAGTGAGACAAATCATAAATCTCGCATGCGAATCTATATTCGTGACTCGAGAATACTACCCCAGGTAGCTTCATATAGCCTGTTTATATGGTTTCAAATATAAAAGGTTTTCAATAGGTATTGATATTTTATAGAATTCCAAATCCTTGCTGTAAACCTAAATGTTTTAGAAACAAAATAGTATTTGAATTTATTATATTTTTTGACATGAGAATATAATGTCATATTTTGTTTTCACTTCAATAAAAACGTACCTATCTTTTAAAACATTATTTTGTATATTTTTCATCTACTTGCAGTCACTATTTTCCACATCTATTTTCACATTTAAAATAACCCACCCACATACTTTGATTTTCTGTATGTGAACCCACCGCAATCGGTTTACGTTCCCTACTGCTGAAGATTCCAATATGAGCGAGAAAGTCTGCATTAGAAAAAGAAACAATGATTTTATTATAACGACATCAATATTGAATAGATTTATACTTACAGTGGTAGCCTATCTGTACATATATTATCTAAGATATGTACCAATGAACTCCTAATGTATAGGCAACATACATATCAGAAACAGGACCCGATCTAGGAGGCGTCATGGATGGAATCTTTTATGTTTATCATCGTCGTTTTTATAGTAATAATTATTACTCTAAATGTTTGAAAAGTATCTGGCTAGTTAATGTTTTTAAGCACTTATAAAAAAGTATCTCTCTATAATTAATTGTAGGAGTAACTATGAATGAATAATAATTTAATTACATTGCTATTATTTAAATTTAATATGAATTTTTTTACCACTCATATTGTTTCGTTTTCCCACTAGGTGAGATCTTTTCTTCACCTGTAAATTACTTTATATAAATAAACTTACATATCGATGCATTTTTTATGGAAAATTATATGGATATGACTAATTTGCGGGTTGGAATTTAACAGCTGACAGGTACTTAAAGAGTAATAGTACTAAAACTTTCACAATAATAAAAATAAAAGAACATACTTGACCCACCTAGAAAAATGTACCTAATTCTAATAATTACGTTTTCAATGAGCCTCCTTCCAGGTAATAAAAAATAAGCCAAAAAACCCAATCTAAGATACTTATAGCAATGAAAATTTAAATTCAATAAACAATTTTAAGTGAGTGTCCTTCCTGGAAATAAATCATCCCTCATAAATTTAGTGCCGGAGCGAACTTACCTATGATCTTTTCGGATCGGGGATTAAAATCTGACCGCCGCGCCGGAGCGAACTAGTGTGTTCCGTTACCAATTGATACATATATTACCAACCCCATTACCTTTTTGGCAGGTGACCCTAATTTGAGTCTTATCCCCTCCAAGCAGTAGTTTACTCTTGTCAATTTTAAAAAGAGTGCCAGGTACTAAAAAACGCACTAGATTACTGAGACTTCTTACACGTAATACCCAATCCAATACTCATTTCCTAAGCTACACCAATTTTTCCCCATTGCCTTCAAGGGCTACCTACTTTATTCTTGTCAATTTTGACAAAATACCAGGTACCAGAAAAATCGATCACATACCCACTCTAACGAATTTTTGTCAGGTGACATCAATTTTCCCCATTGCCTTCAAGGTGTAGGTACTTTACTCTTGTGAATTTTGACAAAAGCACATGCCTGCATAATATTCTCAAAATAGATATCTTGTGCTGTTTTGGAAGCTTTGAACAATAATTCCATCAAAAAGGGGTGAATTATAGGGATAGTATGTATTATTATTAAAGTTTCCAATGAATTTACATAAATTTTGAATTCCTTTTGAAATTAATCAGCAAAAACTGAGGCTAAAAGAAATTCATTAATTCACAAAATACATACGATATATTCAATTTCTTTTCTTAATTTAATTAACAATATAGGTTAATAAATAAAATCGATACAGTCTATATACGTACTTGCCAACTAAAGTGAGAAAAAGGTTTAGCGAAAGTTACGACCAACAAAACAAAACAAAATGAGAGTTATACTTTTTCTTATTCTTACCATCGCGCCTTTATATCAGGTGAGTAACTATTTTAGTATTTTATTGAATAATAAAAATGTTCCGGTATACCTTGGTTTTAATTTAAAACTAAATTATTATTTTTGAAAAGTTTATAATTATTGCATGTAGGTACCTATATAGAATGTTACACTCTGAAAATACATTTGTTTGAAATCTGTTTGCTTATGTTAAACATATTCTTGCGGGAGGAAATTTTGTTTTAAATTCATATACACAATTAATTTCAAACATTACATTTATTCAATTTAAAGAAATTTGTTTGCATGAAACAAATAATGTTTCATGGAAAAATTTGATTATTTTAAACAATATTTTTATTTGTTTGACTTTAAAATCTTGTTGGAAATAAATAATTTACTTAAAATGACAAAATGGACTTATCGCACTTGTTTGAATCAAAGAAATGTTTATTTAGGAAATAATATGGTATGGCTAAGGACAATTTTAGCCGAAAACTAACTTGGTCACACTAGTTTTGTTTTAGTTTGTCAGTCATATTTAATACTTGAAGTCATATCGTCGATAGGGTAAGAAAGGTTATAGTGATTTTAATTTATTATATCGTTACAGCGAATTTCTTAAATTAACTCATCAATAGTTGTAAATCAGAGAATATTGATTTATGCTCGCCGTTCGTAGCGACTTGTCGCGAAAATAGCGACATTTTAGTGGTTTATGAGAGTAGCGGCGATTTAGTCTAAATTAGCCAAAAATATTGACGTTTTGATCCTTAATACATTAAGTATCAGTGTAAGGTCCGATTCCACCTTGTGTTAAACGGAGATTAAAATGACATTGTTAATGTAAAAATGTCATTTTAAACTTCGTTTAACACAACGGCGGAATCGATCCTAATAAAATAACAAAACGCTATTAGTTATTTAGAGGGAAAGCACACTCATGTGACATCTCGCGCGCGACCTGCCGCATGCGATTTTTTAGGTGCGATTTTTAACAGACGACAAGCAGCGACACAGACGTTCAGTATCAAAATAGAGGTGGAAGAAGTAGTAATGGTGTTGTTTTATTCTGTTCGTCGGCGGAAAAAATTGAAACGATGTAGGTACTGGGTTCATCCATTATTTATAGACCCTTATGTAAAAGGCGCATTTAATTTATTACATAAGGATTTACGTCAACACGTAGATAAGTTCTTCAAATATTTCAGAATAAGAGTAGTGTCATTTGACGAACAAATATTTTTTTCTCTATTTTATTTCAATTAACTGTTCGATATTTGAGGTCGGTCTTGAATATCGGCTATGAATTCATCTATATCAATACAACTGTCGGACACTTTTTCACTAGAACTGTCGAAAAGTTAACAGGAAACTCCAACTCTCAACTGGCGTTTCGCACGCGACTTGACGTTTGTATGAGTGATGCTCCATATGAATCCATGATAACGCTGGCCGCGTGCGGCAGGAAAATCGCGGGCTTGTCATTTCTAATTTTCAGCCGCGTGCGACCACGCGACAGAACCGCGTTAATGGGCTTTGAGTCATTTAAGAACATCTAAAGTATTGCGGCGCGCGACGCCTCGCGATCAGTCGCGCGCGACGTGTCGCATGAGGGGGCTTTCCTTCAGATGATTTTAATCGATGCTGTGATATATGTGATTGCAACGACCTGCTGATCGCCATTTTCAAAGCAATCAGTTGTCTTCAAAAAAATTAAATTGGGCATTTATTAAAAAAAACGTTTTACAATGGGCCCGTTCACTTTCATTTTTGAATGTGAATTATTTATATATTTATAAAGATATTAAACTCTTTTGTCTGGTGGTACTTTTCCCGTTAAAATATTTTTGCTAGAAGTAAGGGAATTCCCATAAAATTCTTTCAGTGACTCATTGCGTCAGAAAACCCCTAATTCCCTTCAGGTGTTGTATCGGTTAATAGTTAAAAGGGCGCGGTTGTCGGATGTATCATTGCACCACCATTCCTCTTCTGCATTTATTAAAGAAATTTAAATGATAAAAAAATATTATTTTTTAAAAATAATGTGTTTATATTTTCAGATAAAGCTGGAAGGCTTACCTTTTTTAAATTTTAATAAAAACAATTAGTATTACTAAAGCTGAATATTACCAGATCCAAATTTTATTTGAGAAAATGTATCTGGTAAACGTGACAACGTTGTAAGTACTTCTAAATAGTGTTGTCTACACACACTTCTAGAAATAAATGCAACGTTGCCACGTTTACCAGATAAATATTGCAAATCAAATTTCTACTTTTTGATTATGGTCTGGTTAATTTTCAGCCTGAGTAATAATAATTGTTTTAATTAAAAAGTAAAAAATAAGCTCCCAGCTTTAAATCTGAAAATATAAGTTCATGATTTTTAGAAAAATAATGGAATTTTACTATTTAAATTACATATAAATGCAGAAATGCTATATTAGGGATACTTCCGACAACCTCGCCGTCTTTAAGCATAACCGATACGAGACGTGAACGGAATTAGGGATTTTCTGACGCAATGAGTCACTGAAAGAATTTTATGGGAATTCCCTTACTTCTAGCAAAAATATCTTTACGGGAAAAGTACCACCAGACAAAAGAGTTTAATATCTTTATAAATATATAATCAATTCACATTCAAAAATGAAAGTGAACGGGCCCATTTTACACATATTTAAACAAAATGAAGAATAATTCATAGCAGTTTATGCAAAACTATTGAATCGTTCACAAATCAGATTCAGACTCTGGCTAAATATTTTTTTATTTATTGTTGTGTTAAACTAGTTTAAATTAATAAATTAAGATTAAAATGGCATTTTTACATTAACAATGTCATTTTAATATTCGTTTAGAAATTTAAACTTAGTTTAACACAATGGTCGAATCGGCCCTTGGATCATTAAAAAAAATATTTTTAGTTTTTTAGGCAATACAATACACACGTTAGTGTATGTTCAATTGCCTATTTCATCCATCCATGATGTAGCGACAAAATAGCGACTTTAGGCGAACAAAAATTAGGCATTCCAAACAAATGAATTACCAGTGGGCAGGTTTGGTATATCTAAGGGTGGCTACATATGGTGTATATTCTATCTACTTTACGTAAAATCATGAATAATGGATTACATTTAAATATTTTATGTCAAACACAATAAAAATAATATTTATATAACCTATACAGTTATTCATAAATTGGCAGGCTTGGCAAGTACTACTTGGACAAATTGACCGTTGACATTAAGTGTAAAGGTTAAAGAAAAAGTCCTTTATTTCTCACAAAGTCAATTTATTGGCGACCGGTTTCGAAGTTGTCACTTCATCATCAGGCACACCTTGACTAGGACTTTTTCTTTAACCTTTACACTTAATCCCTACTACTCACATATGGCTACCCTCACTCCAAATGACCGTTGACAGCTGTCAATTCACGGCCAACGAGGAATATAAAAGTAAATATCCTCTTTTAACATTGAGATTTTATGTTGACCAACTCGCTAAATTCAATTCTTTCTAGAATTGGAGAAAATGTTAGTTGACAAACTCTCAATAACAAAAGAGAATATTTTCTTCTTTATTCTACTTTGACAGTGAATTGACAGATGTCAACTGTTAATTTTTCCAACCTGGCATGAGAATTGAATTCAGCGACCTCAAGAACCCAAACTCTCAATGTCAACAGAGAATATTTACTTCTCTATTCTTCGTTGACAGTGAATTGACAGCTATCAACTGTCAATTTGTCCAATCTGACATGAGAATTGAATTCAGCGACCTCAAAAACCCAAACTCTCAATGTGAAAAGAGGATATTTTCTTCTTTATTCTACTTTGACAGTGAATTGACAGCTGTCAACTGTCAATTTTTCCAATCTGGCATGAGAATTGAATTCAGCGACCTCAAGAACCCAAACTCTCAATGTCAACAGAAAATATTAGGTATTCCAAACTGAATGGCTACCAGTGGGTTTTGACTGGTTATGATATGGCAAAATTATGGCAACCCTGTAGGCCTGGTGATTTGACAAAGTCAATGAAATAGATAGTTACATAGATTGATCATCCATATTTTTCAAAATAAACATAAGCTCATGCCTTGAAGTAAAAATGTAAGCAATTCTTTTTTTTTTAAATATCTAAAGGCTAAAAATTAGTTTTAAAACACATTTTTGCTAAACCGATTCAAATTAATAAATATTTGCCAGGCAATATGGCCGCTCGTAAACGACCAGCTCTGAGCAATCTATATTACTATATATGTATCATTGACCCTATTAATGTCAACATGACAACAGGGTTACCATAAGGTTTGTTTTGGTTCACGTTCTAGAATTGTTCCAGAACCATGCGCAGAACTATTGCGCAATGGTCCTTAATTCTGAACAGTTCTGTAACCATTCCATTGTATTCGAAACCAAAACACTGCCAGAACAGTTTAACGTCAAAGAGTAAATTATAAATAAAAAAGAAGAAATTACACAGGGTCAGTGTCTAGGTAAGAAAGAGGCCACATAATATAGTAAAACGTAGATAAATTAAATAATAAATTCGTAAAAAATCTTATGACTCAACATCAATTAATCAACTGCTCCATTCTCATTAGTCATTCGAAAATTCCTAGTAAAAATTCCAACACAAAACGTGGCCAGGATCTCAAAAACAAAATTACTTGCAAAAAAGCGCAAGCGCAAACATATCAATTCTGAAACAGTTCTCGCTTTAGGCCAGAACCGACGTTACTGTTCGAGAATGGTTATGGAACCATTCCCAAAAAAACCAAAACACAGAACTTAAAGGTTCGGAACAGTTCTGGCGAAACCAAAACAGCAAATATCTACTGCGCATGCTCCAAAGGTTCTGGAAGAGTTCTAGAACAGTTATGAAAATGAACCAAAACAAAGCTAAATCTAAACTGTCATTACCCACTGGTAGCCATTTGGACAGGTCGTTGGAATGCCTAATAGCGATAATGACAGATGTCGGTGCGGCAACACTGTTTATGCTATTATCAGCAGTTTTCGTTTTAAGGACAGAGTATCCTTTTGCATTAGAATGGCGTCTGCAGACCAAAAGTTAACTATTTCCGTAATTATACCGTATATCGTACTATTTTTTTTTTTTTTTTAATTTTAGATTAAGGTCCAACTTAGGTGGTTCAGACATTGATTTTTTTTAAGTTAATGTTTTTAATTAAAAACGTGTGGTAGAAACTGGCCTATTTTTAGACCTTTTATAATAAGTATTATAATAATGAATTGTCTAGAGTTAGGTACTTAATACCTACTTACGGAAAGTGAAACCATTTCAATTTAATCCTATTTTTTTTTTTAAATTTGTATCTTATATTTCTTATGTTGTAAAACAATGAAAATGAAAGCAATTTGTTTTTCTATCTTATGGAGTTAAAAATTCTTTTAAATCAATATAAGAGGTAAATATTTATTTCCACAGGTGTCAAAGATATACGCCATCAAATACTATGGGATTTAAACCCGAATCGCCGAATCCAAAGTCCTAAGCTCTGGCCATTCCTTTATTAATGATATTAATCTATATACATCATTTTCACGAATATTACGTTCGATTTCTTCCTTCAGTTGTCGAATCGTCTCAGGATAGTTTCCTTGTACTCTACTTTTTAAATACTCCCAGAGGAAATAGTTTAAGGGCGTCAAATTTCAACAACTCGGCGGCGAGTTTTGGTCTTCAAATCGAGAAATGACACGACCTGGGAACTTTGTTTGCGGTAACGCCATTGTTTCGCGTGCGGTGTGACAGGTCGCGCCGTCCTGTTAAAACCACAAGTTATTTATGTCCATTCTATTCATTCCAGCCAAAGAAAGTGTCTCAGCATGCTACGGTAGCGGTCACCATTTACAGTCACAAAACAACTTCATTGTTTTGAAAAAAATAAGGTACGATGATCCCTCCTACCCAAATGGTGCACCAAACTGTCACTTTTTGAGGATGCATTGGAATCTCGTGCACGGCATTTGGATGATCTTCCCCCTAATCAGACAGTTCTGTTTATTCACAAAGCCGTTCAAATGGAAGTGAGCCTCATCACTAAAGATAATTTTGTTGTAGAATCCATCGTCAACTCCGTGTTGACGATGGAGTTCGCAAAATTTCTGCGCTGTCTATGATCAGCTGGCTTCAGCTCTTGCGTCGACTGTATTTTGTAAGAAAGAAGATGCAAATCTTTTGTCAAAACTCATTTTAATGTACCGCGACTGATTTAATTTCTGGCCGCGATGTCCCAGACAGCACACCAAATCCTTTGGATATCTACTGAACATCCCAATATCCACTGAATGTCCAGTCTATGGTGGATATCTATTTTATATCCATAAAATGTAATTTATAGACATGCAAATGTCCATAAATAATAGTAATTATATAGCAAATTATTAAAAAATTACGCCATTGTGCTCGCCATTGTGGCTAATAGTACCGTTCAGATATTTAAAATTAATTTTTTTAAGGTGTATTCAATATCCCATGGACATCCACATATATCAAAGTCTTAGCGCGGACGCAAACCATCGTGGATATCTACTAGATGTAATTTTTGATTTTGCTTCCTAAGTATAGATGGCGATACCACTTTCGTATCTACTAATGCTCAACCCGCCATAATTGAGTTGATCGAAAAAAATTTCGCATTAAGACTCTATTAGAGACTAGAGTTGAGAATTTCCATTTATTGCTGAAGAGTCCTAATAAGGATTACTTTTTTCTTAGTGGGCAAACTCAAAGGCAGATTATTGGAAATATTTTTTATCTCTATTTTCTTTCGACGTTATTCAATAATCATTTGGTTACTTATGAATGTGTACTAAAGATACCTATAAAATATTTTGCTGAATATCTGAATTCTATATCCTGGGATATAGACGGACATTTGGTTGGATATCCATATTTGGATATCCACAAAATATATTCTGTGGATATCTCTGGGATTTCTTGTATTGTCTGGAAGATACTAATTAGATATTTTGCTTAATATCCATAGGATATCTTCTATATTCTGGATATAGACGGACATTTGGATATCCATATTAGATCCACGGAATATTTCTGATATCCTGTGGATATATTGGATATCCACAAAAGATATTCTGTGGATATCTTTGGGATTTGGTGTGTTGTCTGGGGTCGGATGGAAATGTTTGAATGTTCGTCAATACTGGCTCTCACGGCGGCGATGCCTTAAGCAGACCTTCCAGGACAACGACGTCTAACACTTGTCTCGTCTTTAAATGCAAATGTCCGCTCAAATTTGTTGATCAAATTTTCAATAGTGAGCCGCGACGGACGATTATGTATACCAAAATGTTCACGTAACCTGCGCATTGTCACTGAAAAATTTTCTCCATTACTGTAATGGGTCTTCACAATTAATAAACGTTCTTCAAGAGTGTAACGCGGCATTTTCGTAAATGTCAATGTTTTGGCAGAACACATGCCTAATATGGCCTACTTGATGTTTGACAGATGGAAATGGCACGCGATTCAAAATTCAAGTTCTTATTGGAACACCCTTTATAACTATATTATTTTTTTGGTACTAAAATATTGATCTTCCCTCGTTTCCGTATCCAGATAGAAATAATTCTACTCTAAGAACTCCGTGAGTAGAAAATAACAAATTCAACTACTGGTTAGGCAGTCCCGCAGTACAGAATTTGACCGCAAATCCTTTGAATACTCTATCCCTAAAAGACAGCATTTTCTGAATGTAATATGAAACTCTTAATTTCTACTTTTTGTTTTCTAAGAGAAATATTATATAGGGTGTATCCTCGGGTGTTTCTAATAAACTCAATTTATTTTGCAGTGTTCAAGTTATAAAGTAACGGATCAGGTATATTTTGACATTCAAATCGAAAATGAATTCCTGGGAAGAATAATTTTTGGACTATTTGGCGAAGTTGCCCCGAAAACTTGTAAAAATTTCAAAGAATTGGCCACAAATGGTATAAATGGAAAGACGTATGTCGGAACCAAATTTCATTCGGCTATAACAAGAATCATGATTCAAGGTAATATACAGGGTGTCCCAATGAAAAGTAGCTCGTTTCCAGAGCTTATAACTTTTAACCAGATCGTAGAAACGTGCGGTTTTTGCTTCAGTTACACAGAAATTATGTATTACCTATACAGGGTGTTTTTTGAAAAGCTCCTCTTTTAAATTCACCGTAACCAAATTTTATAAAATGGAAACGGGTTACTTTTCATTGGTACACCGTGTATTTAAAAACTGCATTATTGTTTCTTTAAATAGATGTGATAAGCAAATGTTATTTTAGGAGGTGATATTGTTAACAATGATGGCACAGGTTCAATAAGCATTTATGGAAAATATTTTGATGATGAAAATTTCACAATTAAGCACAATTCTCCAGGCTTGTTAGCGATGGCAAATCAAGGTAAAATTTTTAATACCGAACAATAACATTCTGAACAAATAGCGTAGAGTAGAATTTAAAAACTACATACATTTTTAACAGGTCCCAACAAAAATGGTTGTCAATTCTTGATTACGACAATGGCATGTCCTTGGTTAGATGAAAAAAACGTGATTTTTGGCAAGGTGAGTATACTAAATCCCAGATTGAGGAGTCAGCGTAGTGAGATAGGATAACATAGTAGCGGAAGTTAGCTTGTTATTCGTGTAATCTTGAGATTCAAATAAATTTATTTTTATTGCTAGGTGTTCCTCCAATAAAAAAAAGCAAAATGTTTCAGATACAGTATGTTCAAATTTATAAAAAAATTTGAACAATTATCTTAAATATTTATTAGCTTACGTCACATTTATAGTCTACTATATTTATAGTCTATTGCTATATTGATTCCTTAAACTCATCAGTGTTACACCCTGAGCAAAATACGTATTGACGTCTTCCGGCAAAGGTGCCTTCTTTTTTCCCTTTTTCTCTTACGTCGGAGTCTTATTGAAACACTTTTTTTTTTCGTCTCAACTTTTTCTCCTAATTTTATCTGTCTTTCCATTCCTCTTCCTGTTCTTCTTTATTCGGAGTAGAAATGAAATGTATCTATAAGCTCAGCTTTGAGACGATTTCGAGAAAAAATGAGTGTCGGTGGAATGTTAATGTCATTAACACTTTGTTAACGTCGGTTATTCCATTTAAGATTCATTGATCTACGAGTATCTTGCCACTACATTGACTTCTCAACCTAAGATCAACTCTAATTTACTTTTGTTTGAAAAAGAATAAGTACCTAACTGTTTAAATTTATCCAATATAAAAGACTTATGATATATTTTAGGTTATAAAAGGAGCAGAGGTTGTACACAGGATTGAACACTTGAAGACTGATGTAAATGAAAAAATTTTGAAACATGTTTTTGTATCGGATGCTGGAATAATCGAGACCAACCCGTTTTATGAGAATTCCAAAAATTATGAGTAAGTTCGCAAAACAAAAATGAGTCTCTTTTCTCTTAAGGGCAATTGTTATGATTTCTGGTATTAGATAATGGACGATTTTAGTAAGTCGGATTTTTGAGATTTTTAATATACCGACACTTAATCTTAATCATATTGATTCAGTTACAAAACAAAACTCATCGCAAGTATACTTTCTTTTTTAATAAATATATATTTTTTAAAAATACGTTACGTATTTACTGATCTGGGGATTTTGTTCGATGATTTAATTTATGTTGGTACAACTCGCTATCATTAGCTCACTAAAAAGAAATGTATACGAGACCAACAGTTTGTTTACACGTGCTTGTAGCCTGTTTGTAGCGTCGCTTGAGGTTTGGTTTATATTTTGTTGTGAATTTTAATTCTTTAAGTTTATTTTTGTGAAAAATGGAATAAGGTTTTGTAAAAGGTGATTCAAATAATCTTCCCCGAGTGGATTATTTTGTGATACACGAATATTATATTAAAAATATGGATTATATAAGTGCCAATTACCAAAATGTAAAAGTCTGAGGATAGTTATTTTGAAGAAACTACCAATTATAAGTATATATTTAAAATTATTAATATATTGTAGGGCTACTAGATCTTGCTATGGTGATGAAGCTATTGGCTATGTCCAGCTAAAGAGAGAAGATGATGTTGTCGTGAAGGGACGTATTACTCCTGAACACAGAGTTAAGTTAAAACTGTATGAAATTTCTGTCAAAATAGACACAAAAACGAAAAAAAAAATTAAAATGTATATGTGAGGACTGCACAGCTTCTCTTGGTATTTGTCATAGTATTAGATTAGATTACAATATCCGAATTTGTTGATTGAACACAGTTTTTGAGATTAATATTTCTGCATTTCTAATGTCCGGCTTTCAAGCAGTTATTAAATTTTTAATTAAAAACTTTAACAACTTTTATTTTAATATCACAATTAACTTAAATTGTAACTCAACAATTCGATTTTAAACGACACATTGGATGTTATCGATTAATAGCTACAGACCATACCAAGTGACCGAGTAGACACTCCACACTGTTTATGCCTGTGACGTCAAGACACGTGGGCCAGTTTCTGGTATGACGACATCAAGCCCGCGAAATTTAAATAAGAGGGTGATTTTACAGTTATGGGTTGATGTTAAAAAATAATAAGGTAGTTTAAGCGGTATCAAGACCTTATATACTCAAATATCAAATTGCTAAAATTGTCCATTGTTTTTCTATTTTGTCTTAATAACGTAAAATAATTTTTAAAATTTCGTTAGTGCGTCTTAGAAAAAATGTACTGTACAACTCAAGTTTATTATCTGATTATTGTAATGTACTAGCTATTAATTTTGTTTTTGTTGATATCAGTTTATTTAATAAAACAATGATACGTATTAACAATAGTTTTCAGGGAAAACTCATTTAGTTTTTTTTGTAGGTTAACATTTTGGGCGTGGATCAAAGCAGGATGGTTTCCTTTAAGTTTCTCATTTGCAATACTCGGATTTTTTCAATACATAATGGCCCAATTAAACAAGTACGAGTTAGCAAGATAAAAAATGTATACCTAAATAAAAATACATTTATAAGATCTTTTATAAATTTTATTTCTTCCTAGTTAGTTATTTATTTCAAATTTGGTTGGGTGGATTGGCCTTATCACACTTAGATGATACATTTAATCTTCATGCGATATGGCCATCATAAATTAAATTAAAATTAAGTTAGCTTACTGTTATTATGTGAAATGCTGAAGAAAATATTAAAGCTGATCCTAAAACTTTTTGGTCATTTATACATTTCAGAAACGATACCAAACACTATGAATTTCGAAAACAAGCGGTTAAATTAACCTAAAGATATGGTGGATTCGTTTGCAATATTTTTTTCAGGAAATTATACACCAATTGATAATACTGTTAAAGATTCTTTAAAATACCAAAATTATAACAATATAGTTAACTTTACCCAAGTAACGGAAGCTGAAGTACTAACTGCTCTAAAAAATTGAAACCTAAGCCAGCAAGTGGATCGGATAATGTTCCGGCATTTCTGGTGAGAGACTGTGCACAGGTATTTTGCAAACCTCTTACTATTATTTTCAACCTTATTTTTAAAACTCAACAATTTCCTGAGATGTGGAAGTTAGCTAGAGTTAGTCCAATCTTTAAAAATGGCAGCAAAAATGATATATCCAACTATCGCCCTGTCACAATTCTGAACAATTTCTCTAAAGTTTTTGAAACACTTGTGCATACTTTTCTGTCAGTTTCGCCAAATCATTAGTCCAACCCAACATGGTTTTATTGCTGGTCGCTCTACTGTAACTAATCTAATCTGTATAACTCATTGTATTTCTGAAGTTTTGGATAGAAGAAGTCAGGTTGATGTTATTTACACTGACTTCTCTAAAGCATTCGATAGAATGGATCACAAACTTCTAATAAGTAAACTTTCAGCACTTGGATTTCATGGCTCCTTATTAAATGTTTTACAGTCATATCTATCAGATCCGTTACCTTTATGTTCAGTGCTTAGGGCACGAATCAATGAATTTCAAACAAACATCCGGCGTCCCGCAAGGCTCGGTTTTAGGGCCTTTTTTATTTCTGCTTTTTATTAATGATATTGTTTGTAATTTGAGCGTCACAAATCTATTGTTTGCTGATGACCTAATTTTTTTTTATGAATTCTCTAGTTATAATGATTGTCTATTGCTTCAAGAGAATCTTAACCGCTTAAATGAATGGTGCAAAAGAAATACTTAAGTTACCGTTAAATATTAAAAAATGTAATGTAATGGCATTTACTAGAAAGGAAGCATCAATAATATATAATTATAACCTACAAAATTCTACATTAAATCGACTAGAACTGATTAAAGATCTTGGAGTTTTCTTTGATCCAAAATTAACATTTACATCGCACATTGAAAAAACCACTGCTTCTGCTTATCGAATTTTAGGTTTTATTATATGGAATATGAGATTATTCAATGAATTTTCAACGATGAAAATACATTTCTCTTCGCTAGTTTTGTCAAAATTAGAATATGCCAGTATAGTTTGGAGTCCGATATACTCCAATCACATTAACCATTTGGAAAGAGTTCAATAAAGATTTTTTAAATCAGCTTGTCTTTTAGGTGATGGTACCTCATAGATATATAACCAAGACAGATAGGATTATTTACAAAATTTTTGAAGAATGAACGGTGGTGTCCGCGGTAGAAACTCAATAATCGGATTGAACATTGATGCCAAGTTTACGTGCTTTTAACTATAGATATGTATAAGCAATACAGATTATACAATTTCTGAAGTCAACGCGGATGATCCTCGACAAAAATGCAATATTTGGATAAAATTAAAATATTGATGCCAAGTTTGCAAAGTTTTTAACTGTAGTAATATTATTGCGTTTGCTTGAATTACTGTTAGGTCTTTAAATTGTCCAAAAAAAAAAATAATGTCTGACAACAGCGGAAGTAGAGTAGACCGTAATTGTGGAGGGTCGTATATTGTTTCATTCATAAAAATTCCTTCGATACAGTACTACTCCAGGAGCCAGTGAATTTTTTCGTACTTGTTTTCCCGGTCCGTGTATATTTAAATAATCTATTCCCGGTGAACTGTATATTTAAAATGGAACGCCAAATCTATTAACAAAAGTAAGCCAGATTGAATTCACGCATTACGTCACATCGATACAAGTGAGATTGTTTACAAAGTGCCTTTGCAGGCCTATTTATCCCATTTCATGTATTTGTTTTTAAATCATGTTAAATTACTATTTTTGAAACTCAACAAGGAGTAAATCCAATTAACTCTTCCGTTGTGTATATAAGATAAATTAACTGAAGTTTTATTAGTAAAGTATTAATACTAAAATTTTAATGTAATTTACAGAAAATAGCTAGGTATGTATTTGTTTTTAAATAATTTGATAATTTATGAAAAAAGGGAGTAAAAGTGGAATGACCAGTGGCCAGTAGGTCAGTCAATACAAAGTATCATATATTTCTATTATAACATAACTAAAATACCTACATCTTTTAATCATAAGGACATAAGTTAAAAACCATTTTAATATATGCATTAGAATGAAGTAATAATAACTTAAAGAGACGAGGTCTTAAAGTAATAGCTGGTACAGCATGTTTTTTAAACGTTTCCTCATTGCTGCTAGAATGAAATCACTTACTATGAAATGTGCTCTAAAAACGGCATTTATAGCAGTCAGTGTTCAGTCTTAGGATCTCTTCCTAAAGCCCTCATCCAAGCTGCATACATATTAAAAAATAATTAAAAAAAAAAACATATTATATACCTATATAGTTTTCGGTTTTGGGTGCCCTAAAAAATAACTACAAATAACTTACCTGAAAAATGAAGGCGTCTAACTTTACACCAAAAAAACCATACACTTTTTCCCATTGTTGCAAGCACCCGATGTCCATTAGGTAGATATCAACTAGAAGCATGTACTTAATGGTTATAAAGCTTATTTTAACACAAAAAGAATAAAGCACTAGTCGAAAAGCAGCAATCAAATATAAATAGACCACAATATTAAAATTCAAAACTATATAAAAGACAAATACTCTAAAAGCGCAAAAGATCAGAACCAAATAAAATGAATAACCATAATAACCTAAAAATCACACTAAAATTGCAAAAACTATTACTGTAAAATCATGAGATTACATCAATAATGCATATGCGTCGGAGTATCGCAAATGTCAAAAGTACAGTGTTTCCATGAAAATTTAGCTATGTTTTTAGCAGTATTATAGGACCATTTCTACCACGCGCATCCAACGATATTGGCGTTCCACAGTTCACTGTATTTTCCTCACACCTCTAGTATAAATGATTTGACATAACGAAACTAACAATAATTATAATTAATGTAGAGTAATAAGTGATTCGTGAATTCTATATAAAACAATTATTATATAAAAGTGTAAAAGGAAATGTAATTTATTTCCCTATTTTCTTCTGTAATATCTTCAATTATGTTTAATTTCTATAAATAAACCAACTGGTTAGGTAAAACATTGTGATATAAGATTTTATTTATGTGTCCTATGCGTACACTTTAATATACAAAACACCTGGAACATTCTTTAAATAATTATGGTCGTAGAAATAATTGTGTACATAACTCGTTTGAAAGTGTATTTTATGCACTTGCCAAATATATTATCCATACAGATTAATCAGACTATTTTTTTACTTAACTTCAGTACATCTCTTACTACTAAAACTATTTTTATCAATGGAAAAAGAGGGCCGTGTTCTCGTATGTTTTGACGCATTTTCGGCCTCAGCCCATCGGATCCCCCCTCTAAATATATATGAATTTTGCTTAGAATTGCTAATCCTACAATTCTCTATTCGTGCTTGCTGACTGGGAAAATAAATACCGAAAATCGTCACTGTCTCCTAGACTATACAATAGATGATGATGAGAACTTCACAACAAATACACTTTTATGAATGGCTAGTTGGGGATGTGTGGTACCTATCCCATAAGAGAACTTCCTCAGAGTTATTATTTAAACCGTTTCAATACATGTAGTCTTTTAAAAACGTACATTTACTTATTTTTTTAGTTTATTCTATTACTACTTATTGGCAAAATAATTTGTTTAAAAAAATATTTTAATTTTATATTTTTAACCATCAAATTTCAACATGTATTGTAAAAATTACAACTGCAGATAAAAATGTTGCCATTAATATTTAATATACATGATTGCTAAAACCGATAATACAGCATTTTCTAATCCAAACATTTTTAATTAAAAAATACAAGTCGATATACCTGTTGTTCAAATTTTCCGAAATGTTGACTAATCACAAAATGCTGTCATATAATTGAACATACACTCAAATGATCTATCGGAATAACACTAGTCCATATTCAAATAAAGAAGTTGATGGTGGTCCTGCATTTACAAAACAGCAGATAAAAAAGTAATTTAAATGCGTTTTTGTCTATTTTTAAAAATAAACGTTCTGTAGTGGAATAAATTAATATAACTAATTTGTTTTTTTATTGAATAACTTAGAAACAGGACCTGATATTTTAGTTTTCAAAACTTCTCCAGATTGGGTTTTGAAATATACTTTTCCCCATTTTAACCATCATTATGTTACTAACGATTTACAAGATAGCAACACATTTCAGTTAAAAAGTGGCCAACCTGTATATTATTTCTTTAGGGTACAACTCTATAATAATTCAATAAAAAACAAAATGTGATTGTTTATTAAAATACCTAGTTTAAAATTTTTTAATGTATTTATTCTTAAACTAATAATTGTGGAGTGAAATATCTTATATTAAAGTTAGTCTAAACATAATAATGTGGCTTTTTAATTGTTATTCCAAATTCTGCCAAAGCTGGTGTCAAATCTTCCATTGTTAAACAAAATCTTCTATCCTTTGTACCTTGTTTACTCTAAAAATAAATTAATTTATATTATATACTATAGTTAATGTCAAATTGAAAGGTCAACATGAGCAAGATATACAAGTGCATCTTAAATAAATGATTTGATGCCAAGGTTGCCAAAGTACAAGCATAAAAACTAATACAGAAACAATTCAAGTTCAACCTTCCAAAATGTTTTAATAATTCTTGTCTGACATTTTCTTTTTTAAAATATTCTAATTTTCTTAAACAATATTTAATTCCCAGATCATTATCTATTAAAAAAAGTTGATTAATCCATTTTTAAAACAAAAAATCTGATGTGTCCAACATATGACTTTCCTATCTAGTTATTATAGGCTTTTTCCGGTTATTTTGTACAACCTATTGCAGCATCTCTATAAATGTTTAGAGGATAAACTAAATATATACATTGTCCACATACATCTACCTCGAAACATTTTTCTATAGATATTCATTGAAAACGAAAATACTGAAAAATTTAAATTTAGCACTTTTCCATTACGGTCCATTTTAGAAAAATCATTTATAAACAAAAATTATAGAGATCGATATCGCAAACAACTTTTAGTTCAACAATTTTCATAAAAATCAGAATTTTGCACATTTTGTCAAATTTCTCGGATACGGACCATTTCAGGAAATTTTGACATAAAACAAAAATTATAGATAATAATATTAGAAGTAACTTTTATTTGAACAATTTTCTTCTCCAAACATAAATAACAGATATATTCCATAAAATATAAAAACGGCCTCCCATAAAGTACCCCCCTAGATGTTCCGACTTTGTCCAAAATTTAATCATTTCACGTCAGGCCGAAATAAACCTTAAGTTTTTTTTCTTTATCCGTTTTTTAGTTTTCTTCAAAATTCGAAATTTACATAATTTCTCAAATATCTCGAATACGGTACATTTTAGAGAAATTATGTATAAAATAAAAATTATAGAGAATTATATTACAAACAACTTTTATTTGAACAATTTTTATAAAAAAATATTTTTTTTTTACATTTTGTCAAATTTCTCGAATACGGACCATTTTAGGAAAATTTTGTATAGAACAAAAATTATAGATAATTATATTAGAAGTAACTTTTATTTGAAGAATTTTCTTCTCCAAACGTAAATAACAGATATATTCCATAAAATATAAAAATGACCACCTATAAAGTACCCCCCCAGATGTTCCGACTGTCTAAAATCTAATCAGTTCATTAGACGCTGGAATAAAGCTTAAGTTTAAAATTTGGTGTTTTTCTGTGTATCGGTTCATGAGTTATGCGACCTACAGACACACACACATATCCTCGCGAAAATAGTCAAAACGGATTCAGGGGACCTCAAAACGTAAAAATCCGTCGAAAACTCGAGGTCGAAACAAATCATGATTCCTATACTTTCCTTATAGCTGTATACAGATAGGAAAGTAAAAATATGTCACTAAATTAATTTTGAATCAGGTAGTGACAAAATATCTGACAACAAGGTATTTTCTTTTAAACAAGTGAATGTATAATTACAATAATAATTATAAATTGTAGAGAGATGAATGAGACTGTATTACAATTGTTCTTTTCTGGTCCTATACATACAGGGTACCGAAAAAGTCTAATAACAAGGTATTTTAGATTGATGAATGGGGCTGTATTACATTAGTAATGTGGTAGGTACTTTTTTTAGTTTTCTTGAAAAGAAAAAAAAATAGGCTTTTCTCTAATATATCACTTGACCTATGTTACCATTTAAAAAATTCATGGTTATTTTTTGCTATCCTAATCGTATTTCATTATGTATACATATTAAAACTATAATTTTTTTGTTACATGTATCATGTTTCTTTTGTTCCTTTGTCTAAATAAATTATTAAAAAATTTAAAATGAGGTTTTTGGATTATTTGGCAAAAGCTGGGGCCCGGCTGGGCTGTATAATCAAGGTTCTACTGAATTTCCAATTTTTCTTATAAATGATATAGATGGCTGTGATATAAGAATAGCTAGGTATTATGGTATAGTCTATATAGATAATAATTGAATAATTACTGCCATTTAAGGGTGTGCTTATGTGTCAAATTGAAGTAATTATAATTTATTTAGTTTTCTCTTATTCAATTATGTCAATAGAATGTTTTCATAGACGTCTAGTTTCAGCTCTTTTCGATTATGCAAAACCTAAGCATAGATACTTGATACTTGTCAATATTGCTATTGTGAACAAAAAACTATGTTCCATATCTTGTGCAAATGAATAATGACACAAATATATATTTTTTAATAAAAATATGCCATTATTTCCATTAATTTTATGGGAAAGGGAGTGGATAGGAGTGATGGGTGGGTAAAACATTAAAACAATGTCAATAGTTTATTTTTAGGGCAAGAAAAATTATTAGAAATGAATTGCTATACTTTTGATTCTAAATAAATTAATTGTGTGACTTGGCAACAGTGTAAGTAGCAGCATTTATGAGCTTCGGTTTGAGATAATTTGTGAAATATTTTCATTTAAAAAAAATAATTGTGTTATTATTATTATTAATTAAATGATGATACTAATATTTTTAAGAAATAAGTAGACAGAATGGTGTACACACTACTAGTGAAATATAAATGGTACAAAAGTGTGTAAAAAAATTAAAAAACATATTATGCTTAGTTTCTTCATAAGCGAAAAGAGCAAAAAGACTAATTTGACTGGACAATGACTCCTTTTTTACTTTTACCTTAGAACCGCTGTGGCTCGAGGAGTTTGTAGACCTCATTTTACAATGCTGCAGTGCATCATTAGCAATATCCGATATGAATTTTTGAGCTGCAATTGATATTAGCCGAACAAGCCTAGGATCTTTCGGTTCTAAGCCTGAACTTCTCAGGTAGTAACTAGTTACAGCATCTGGAATCTACAAATTATTGCCCTTTAGTTTAAATAGAGATTGGGATTTTGTAACTTACTGTAGGTGTGTAATCTTCCAACTGTAAAAGAAAATCGCTTAATGGTTGACCGAGGGTCATATTATTATCTTCAATCATTTTCTCCTCTTGATTCATTATTGCTAAAATATCTAGTACCTACATAAATTTACTATCATGAATTATGCAAAAAGCAAAAACTGCCAAAACAAAAAACCAAAATATTTATTAATGTCAAACGTCAATCAAAATATTTAATAATGTCAATTTTCTTCTTTTTTTGTGAACCTACTACAGTTAATTGGAAAAAGAAATACAGTATAATTTTGAAAGTGCTGTAGATCTGCAGCAAATAGGCCAATGTCTTACAACTGGTTTTAAAAGCGAGGTCTCGCAACATGAACAAGTTACATTCGTAACGTGTTACATACAATATTTTTTCTAATTTTGACTAAAATTGTGTTTTGAGTCTTCATAGTTTTGGTTAAACATTACTGCCATTTACGCAACTAATATTACTTTCGTATATTGTTAGTTGCATATGCATCATTTTATTGATAATAAGAACCCCAATGGCTGCGTTCATCCGCGCCACATGCTACCCACAAAGCACATAGAGGTTCCACGTGAATGACCAAGGTCAAAACCGACAATTGACATTTTTTATGCTATTTGCTCCAAACTCTAGATGGGGCTACTGGTGAAATTATGATTTCTTACTCCATTTTTAAGCCTTATGGGAGAAAAAGACTCCAAAGATGTGACGTGTATTTATTTATGTTCTTGGTTAGTTTCATTTTTCCGTCTGATTTTAGTGATTTTTTGTTGGCTTTGGCTTTTGGTTTCTGTTTATAGTTTCGTCTTAGTTATTTGCAAAATTGTGATGTTTCGCTTTTTTATTTCCTACTGTGTTTTGCAATAATTTTGGTGCTACGTTGAAAACTTCGAGAAAAACTTCATTGATTCACCATATATTCACCATGCATCTGCATCATAAAAAGATAAACGGGGACAACAACTAATTGATAATTGATAATCAATTTATCACTGGACTAGATTCCGAAATCATTTTTCACATAAGAGAGTAATACCACCATCTGTATTTGGAAGGAAAATACCTATTTATCATTGAATGAATAGTTAAAAGGATTCACCTTTTAATACAATACCTATATTACATTTGTCCTGAGTTAAAAAGACATTTATAAAATATATAACTTTAGTGTTAATAAAATGTAATATCCTAGTCTCTACTTCACATTTAAATTATTGATAGGTATTTTAAAGATTTGAGATTATATATCTATTTGCTCCAAGTAAGTATTCCCTAAATATGTATTATTATTTGTATTTATTTTTATCTAATAATATTTATTTAAGTTATTAATAAACATATTTTAAGAATGTTCTATTTTATTATTTATTGATATATCTTATATTTATTTAATAAAAATATGCAGAACCAACTCTCCACATTAGACCCCTTATAACAAATTAATTCTTCAAATTTGGTATAATCGACCTAAATTATTTTGTAAAATAAAAGTTTCGAACTTACTAGTTCCATACTTTATTTTATAAAATAATTTATGTGGAAATCATTTAAAATTTAATTTAAAACTACTACCTACTCCTAAAAATTACAATTTGAATTTACCGCCATCTGTCAATTGTCATTTTAGTTCCAGCTCCAAACACAAGGTGGCGCTAATTTGGTTTAAAAGTTTAACATTGGCGGGGGGTCTCTAGAAGATACATGCTTTGTGATGCTACCTGATCGATCTGGTAGCGCTCTCGAGTGGCACGTATGAACGGTGTATTTTGACATTTCGCTCAAGGAGCGGCCGCCATTAAAAGTAGCGCATTTTATTTACGTCTGATCGGTGATCACTGATCTGTCTTACGCACTTACGTCCACGATTTGCTTGGTGACTAGTAGGGTTATATTAGCATATTAGCAATTGAAAAATAAACAAACAAATCTTCAACCAGAGACATTCAACTCAAAAGTAAAATGAATAAACCAAAATCAAATGTCACTTTTAAACATGGTTCATCCGTGCATAAAGATCGATCAGGTAGCGTAAGTGATCGCTACTTTTGTAGCGCTCCTTGAAATGGCGCGGATGAACGCAGCCATTTAGAACATCATTATTTATTTGAAAAAATAAAACAAATATTCTAAAAACAAAAACAATACATACATACATACATACAAAAAGCTATAAATTTATTTGCTGAGGTTCTTTACGCACTTTTCTCCTAAAAAATGATATATAAAATATGTATGTATATTATGAGATATTTATAAATTATTCAAATTTACATTGTGAAGCTTTTATAATATAATAAGTATGTTAGAATTGAGATGAAAATATCAGTGTAATAGAAATATTTCAAACATTACAAAAATACTTACATCTAATAGCATTTTTTGGTCACTTTAGTAATAGTAATGGATTCCTCTACATTTTTCTTTGCCGTTTGTGTACTGTGGTTTTTCCTAAACATCTCTAAAAAAATGAATTAATTAGTATTAGTCGTCTTTAAATTAATATTATCCTTTACATAGAGAGATGTGAAAAGAATTAGGTACATTTCTCTGAAGCTAATGCTCTATCATTATTTGAGGATAAAAGAGACTCCTCCTACCAATTGATTTACACATTCATAAAATATTTATTCATTTTTATAATTTTATGCAGTCTATTCTGTTTCATGCAGTTGCTAGCTAGCAAGTGGCTTAGACCAAGGTCAGTCATTATAGTACCACTTTGAAAAAATTCTCTAAAGTAAAATATGTAACAACTAGTGGTTATAAAAGTAGATATCAGTAAGTGACTTAGAAGTAATTAAATATTCTTGGTGGTTAAGTACCTGTAACAACTAGTTGCTGAGAAAGAAATATCGACCTTTGGGTAATAAATATTTAAATATATCAAAAAATTAGGAGGTATGTTTATTTATAAGTTAATCGGAACTTATATTTATTTCTAATGATTTGTTTTAAGAATAAAGTAAGACTTCAGCAAAGCCTACTATTTATTGCTTGTAATCTGTAAAGTGTGTTCCCCTTACATTACTTAGGCCTCAATAGACCCATTGTGCATCCTCCAGATGCCTTTCAGGTGAGATTTCTCTACCCAGACAGCACACCAAATCCTTTGGATATCTACTGAACATTCCAATAACCACTGAATGTCCAGTCCATGGTAGATATCTATTTTATATCAATGAAATGTAATTTATAGACATGCAAATGTCCATAAATAATAGTAATTATATAGCAAATTATTAAAAAATTACGGCATTGTGCTCGCCATTGTGGCTAATAGTACCGTTCAGATATTTAAAATTAATTTTTTAAAGGTGTATTCAATATCCCATGAACATCCACTAAATATATCAAAGTCTAGGTGCGAACGCAAACCATCGTGGATATCCACTAGATGTTATTTGATTCTGCTTACTAAGTATAGATGGCGATACCACTATCGCATCTATTCATGCTCGACCCGCCGTAATTGAGTTCGATCGCAATTTGTGTCCTAACCACTCCTTTAGAGACTGGAGTCGAGAATTTTCATTTATTGCTGAAGAGTCCTAATAAGGATGACTTTCTCCTTAGTGGGCAAAATCAAAGGCAGAGTGTTGAAAATATTTTGAGTGTTAAAAATATTTTTTTATCTCTGCTATTTTCTTTCGACGTAATTCAATAATCATTGGTATGAACCTCTACAGATGTCCGTGTATTTATAAACATAACTTACCTGAGTCGGACTTGAGTAAGTCGTCCTTGAACTAAAATCCAAGTTCGGTTACAACGTCTCTAAAGTTCTAGGTGGTTCCGGTGTTAGACTGGAATTTAGAGATAGATATTAGCAAATTTGTAACTGTTATGTACATTTACGGATTTGTTACTACCTATCTCTAAATTCACGTGATATAACCGAACTTTGATTTTCGTTCAAGGACAACTTACCTAATACCCAAGTCTGACTCAGCTGAGTTTTGTTTATAAATACGGACCTTATTTTAGACATGGGTAACGCACTAAAATTCTTTGCGTTGATACACTAACTCCGGCGCACTCTATTGCGCCAACTCATTGCGTTAACGCAATTGCGTTATTGCGTCACACCACTGCCTGCGCCGAATGAAGTCGATGCACCTCGGTGTATCGCATGATACCGGTGTTATTCAGCGCGGGCTGTCCTTTTATAGGGGTCAAACCGTGTTCAAGGCAATAACGCTAACTAATTTTTTTTTTATTATATGTTTAAAAATAAACGAAAATATAACAGTGTAATGCACTCATTTTTTTATTTCATTGAGTTCGGATTTTACAAAAAACACAAAAATTCCAATTTATATAAAAAGGATATAAATTTTGTATACTAGTAGCCAATCAAATTGGGAAGAAATAAAAATTGACAGTGTACAAGATTAAAATTCATAAAATTCGACCTACAATCCTACAAATGATGTGACATGTTGCATCAATTACGTAAAATAAAATTCTCAACTCGTCACAGAAAACGGAATCAGTTCCTGGCGCATGGCGCACCAACAACTCGCGATCCTTTCGACTCAGTATCGAAAATTGCGTTGCGCTGATACAGTAACAACTGGTGTATCAACGCTCGTAACGCATACAACTGCGTTAACGCAATAACGCAACGCAGCGCTGCGTTACCCATGTCTACCTTATTTTAGTTCGTTGATTTTTCGGGGATGATCAGGACCTTACTTTATTAAAACAGTCGCTAGCTGTAGTAAATGTTTTTAACCATATGTAAAAGTTAAATAGTGTTAAGTATATGTGATTTTGTGGTTATTAAAGGAACATTATTCATTTTCATTCATTCATTTCAAACTGGTGCCTATGTTAAGTTTACTGTTTACTAGGGGTTATTAAAAAACCCATTTCAGGAAACTTGCTTACTTGTGTCAAACATAGGTACTTTTACTCATGGTAATTGATTTATTCTAATTTATTTGACACTCTTTTTTCCGTGCAATGTATGCTCTTTTGACTCTGTTTTCTAAGTGTAAATTCCATGTTAACTTGCTGTCAAAGGTGAGACTTGCTTCATTTCTGTTGCAAAGTTTAGTTTTATGTTTAAGAGTTCTGGAGGTTTTAATTCCATTTTCATCCTTTTCCTTGTAAAAAGGACCATTTCTGACTTCTTGGGATTGATAAACAGTGAATGGTTCTCGCACACTGTTCTATAATTCGTTATACTTAGTAATAAAATGAAAAACTAATTTAATTTCTATTT